GGCCGTCGGAGCTCAAGGGCTCAGAGGGCAATTCCGCCTTCGATCTCTTGACTCTAATGTCGAACCTTCCGCCCTGGCTGTGAGCCGGCTGGGCCAAGCCCCCCTCTTTCTCTTGGATTTCTTGTCTGTTAGTTTGCAACAACTAAACCCTCAACCCTGCGCCCACAGCTTCTTGGAAACTCGGCATCTCGTTCTGTTTGTCACACTCGGCTTTTGAGGGGAGCCGTCGGTTACCTGGAGAGTCAGCACCTCGGCTGGGCTCGTCTCAGGGATGTCCGGGGTCCTGGGGACTTGGGAGTTAGGTCACAGGGTAGAACTGTCGCATCCATCACGTCCAAATCCCGTGCTGCCCTCTGAGTGCTGTCCGGGGGCTGTGCAAGGGTTCCGTGACTCCCTGTTGTGAACTGGCTCTTCCCAGAGTGACCTGTGCTGTGGCTCTTTTTGGCGGCGCTGTTGGAAACTGCATGCCTGATCTCCACATGGGCACTGTTGTGGGAGCCAGCTCCTCTCATCGCTCAGTACCCGGCGGGCTCCGGGTCACTCACTTGGGTGGTTGGTGGGTCTGGAGTCACTTTGGGAGGGTCTTCATGGAGGGTCTTTTCTCAGACTTCAAAGGCGTTCGGTGCAAGGTCCCCGGGAAACTGGGCCAGTCCCTAGTCCCTGTCAATCAACCAGGGCCAGGGAAGGGGTCAAGAGCAGGAGAGCACCCATGCTAGCTGCCGGCTCCTTGTCCCCCGCGAGTGCCCGCGGCCACTCCAGTCCTCTCCTCCCTCCTACTCTGAAGTGTTTTTGTTTGGGGAACCACACACAGTTGTTCTCGGGGCTTGCTCCCGGCTCTGTGCTCAGGGATCACTTCTGGTGGGATTTGGGAAACCGTTTGTGGTGCTAGGGATTAAATCAGATTCACCCCGTGTGCAAAGCAAATGCCTCCCCCCTATCCTGCCTCCCCCTGCCCCTGCGTTCTGAAGCAGACGGGCCCTGGGGTAGAGCTGGAGAATGTCAGGCTGAATGCTGAGGTCACAGGAGACACTGCCCAAGGAACCTCGTCACATTATTGGTATTGTTGTTGCTATTTTTTTCTTTTTTTTCCAATTTTTATTAGTGAAATACCATGAGGTATAGTTGTAGACTTACATTTTCTTGTGCTTGGGTTTCAGTTATACAGTGATCGAGTACCCATACCTCCACCAGTGCCCATTCTCCGCCCACCACTGATCCCAGTATCCCTCCCACCCCCCACCCTCCCCATCCCACCCTGCCTCTGTGGCAGGGCATTCCCTTTTGTTCTCTCTCTCCTATTGGGTGTTGTGGTTTGCAAAAGAGGCAGTGGGTGGCAATCATGTTTAGTCTATAGTCGACTTTCAGCATGCATCTCCCCTCCTGGGAGGATCCTCCCAACACCCTTTATTTGGTGCTCCCTTCTCTATCTGAGCTGCCTTTTCCCCTGTTGCTATTTTTTTGGATCAACTTGGTGATGCTCAGGGGTTACTCCTGGCTCTACACCCAGGAATCACTCCTGGCGATGCTCGGGGGACCATATGGGATGCCGGGCATTGAACCCGGGTCGGCTCCATGAGAGACAAGGCACCCTCCTCACTCTGCCATCTTGCCAGCCCCACATTGGTTGGTTTAGAAACTGCTGTTTTGATGTCCCAATGTTAAGAGAAACAAAATGTATGCAGACTCTCTATTTTAGGTCGTGTCACTGTCCCGGGCCACTCGGGCACGGAGCTAGGCTTCATTCTAACCTGCTCTTATGGTTAGTCGGCGGGATCGCCCGGGGACGTATTCATGATAAGTTGGCAGCATCGCCCGGTGAGGAGTTTCCTGATGTCTCAAGGCTGTTCACACTTATTCTTTCCATCCACGCAGCACAAATGAAATTTTTATTTGCATCATCAAAAATACCAGTGTCTGGAGACATAAGCAAGGTGCGTGCAGAAAGCCCTCAGCAGGTGCTGGTGGGACGTATCTTGTGCCAGTTAAAAAGTAAAGAGTGAGGCTCCACTGTCCACGCACGGAGCCGAGAGATATGCCCACTCAGCAAAGAGCGCCCGACTCAGTTCCTTACAAAGGTTGTGTAATACGCCAGAGGGCTGGCGCAGGCTGCCTTGTAATTCTCTGTAGAATACTTCTGCATCAGCTTCTTACGGGCAGAAAGAAGTGAGCCAAAGGGCCCTTGCAGAGGGAGAGGCCGGAATCTGTGTCAAAGGGAGCTGTTCTCGGGAGTCTGAGTAACTCGTCTGACTAAGAACCTCGGAGGCCAACAGGCCCGGGGCTGGGGTGGTCATTCCACTGAGTCTCGGAACCTCCGAACACATTCCTTGTGCATGTGGAAGGGCCCTGTCGCCCAGGCCCCAGGTACTGGGTGGACACTGAGCATTCACACTGAGTCTTTTTCCTCCTCTTCCTCCTCCTCTCCCCTCCCCTCTCCTGGCCTTTCTCTCCCCTCCCCCTCTCTTCCTCCCTTCCTTTCCCTTCCTCCCCACACCTGGCCTGGCATTATTACTCAGAGGGCTTACGCCTGCTCTGCACTCAGAGACCACTTCTGGCGGGCCCAGAGGACTGCATGGAGTGCCAGGAATCGAACCTGAGCCAGCCACATGCCAGGCAAATGCCCTCCCCGCTGTACTGTCACTCCTGCCCCTTGGCTCTCTGGGACTAATGCCATCTCCACCCACTTCCACTCCTGCTCTTCCTACTTTTATTTTTATTTTTATCTCTAATCACTGCATGCCTTGGTGGGAATCTTCCCAGCTGTGAGTTGGAAGGGGACCGGGAAGGGGCGTCAACTGTCCAGTTGTCTCTGCTACTGACCCTGACCAGGCAGTGGGTAGCCCAGAGTCCCCGTTAGCACCACCCCCCTCCCTTCTGTTGCCCACGCCGCAGTTGATTAAACGGAGGGTCAGCAGTTCGATTTACCGATCCCTCATTGTGAGAAAACAACCAAAGCGAGTGCCACGGGCATCTTGTCATCAGATTGGTCTGTTCGCGGAGAGGAAATCTTCAGAGGCTGTGCATCCTCTGACCGCCTGGACCCGGTCTCTCTCACGCCGCGTCTCCTGGCCCGTGGCCAGGCTTCATTGATCCACAGCAAGGGCAATGCACTCAATAGCCGGTCCTTCCCCAGCCTGTGTACATCTCACGGCACACAGTAGCCCTCTCCACGGAGCCTGCGGTTCATCACCCACTATCATCGGCTCTCGGGAGCCGGATAACTGAATCAGAACTCACTTTGCAGCAGGAAATTTGAACGGTTGAATCCCACAGACACTCCCGAACTAGAGCCCAGGGGCCCGACTGCTGAGACACACCCGCTGCCCAGCACCAGCCCCTGGGACACGTCAGCCGCTCTTTGGGGCTCAGACACTCCCAAACCCTAGGGGTCTCCGCTGACATGCCCCCTCCCATCCTGCCCATGCCCTGCAGATCACTGGATCTCCCCATCAGAGTCTCCCATTCCTGGCTGGCCAGGTCCACGGCAGCACCTGTCCAGATGCCACGGCCACCCAGGTCCTCTTGTCTCTGTTCCAACAGGAGAGGAATCGGGAGGAGGGTTGTCCTGACCCCTCTCTGGGGCATGGGACAGAGGGGGCCATGCCTTGGGGGAAAACTGTGCTGAAGAGGGGAGGGCCGGATGATGCCGGCAAAGGGGCTGATGCCAGGCCGTGTGGGGGAGGGTCCGAGCCTGTGGAAAGGGGATGTGGGGAGGGGGCTGCCGTTGAGAAATGACTGCTGGACAAGGGTTTGAGTGAACAAGGTTAGGAGAACAGTAGGTCTGGAGCCATGTTGGTCCCCAATGGGGGTGGGGTGTGCTGAGACCCCCGGGAGCCCTTTGAGGGGATGAGGAGCACAGAGTCGGCCCCGGGAGCAGCATAGACCCCAGCTCACCCTCCACCAGATTCACGGGCCCTCTGCCCCCAGTGGGACCCTGGTCACCCCGACACTGGTTCACACCCCCCCCTGCACCCCTCATTCACTGTGCCCCATCTCTTTCTCTCTCACTTCCTCGGCCTCTGCTTGTGCTCAGCTGTGGGGTCATCCCCGAGCACTGGGCGCGACCAGGGCTCTGTCGCTGGCTGATGGGCTCCCAGTGTCGGGCAGGGGACTCTCGGGAGCAAGGCTGTCCCAGCAGTGACTCCTGCATGGAGGGAGATGAAATAGTGTGGATTGAAGAGCATCTGAGGAACTGTAAAATATCTGGGGATTCAAATTTCGAACCGCGTATGCCCTGGACGTGGGGAATGTTCTAGTCCCTTGACGCCATGCTGTCCTGAGTCGGGTCTGAGTGTCCAGGTGGGAAATGGGGCCCACGGGTGATGTGTCGGTGGCGGCCCCTTTCTGGGACCTGGGGCCAGCCACATCTGACGGGGAAGGAACCAGAGAGGAAATCATTGTCCTGACCTTGAGACTTATTTATGGAAGTGGAGTAAGCACCCTTCTCTGAGAGAGAGTGAGCGGTCAGAGGCCCCGCAGATGGGACCCCAAGAGGCGAGGTCACAGGGCACTTTCCTGAGTGGCTGTTTTGTTCATCCTGGTCTGAGCTTGGCCGTGTCACAGACCCACTCACGGGCGTAAGAGCCGGGCCTTGAGAGGGTGGAGAGGCACCCGGCATTGCGTGTCATGCCCTCCATGGGCGCGGGCTGGTGGCTTTCTTCCTAGTGCAGCAAAATCTTTGGCTCAGCCAGCATCCATCACCTGACACGTGGTCTTGTGTCCTTCCCTTGCATCCTGCAGGTCAGGCCTCACCCGGACTGTGCTGGACTGGGCAGTGGGGGCTGGGGGCCCGGAAGGAACACACAAGCTTTTGCTCTTCTCTGAGCTAGATGTTGTGGTCTGGTGGTCAGAGCATCCCCTGTTTTAACACTGAGATCGGGGAAGGGCCGGGGAAGGTCAGGTTTCTCGGCCCTCACCTGGCTTCAGGGTGTTTTCTCTGGGGCGGCAGAGCGGCGGGGCTTCCCGGCACGTCTGACAACCGGACTCTTTCCTTTTCCACGCAGGGGTGAGTTGGGGGAGCACCTTAGCACCTGCCACACCTGAGACCCCGGCAAGGGGTGGGGGCGGAGCTCATGAAGTGATCAGCATCTCGGCCTTGGATGGAAGCTTCTGGAACCCGATGGAGCAACTCCACCGGCAGGTCAGTGCCCTGGTTTCTTTCTTGAATGATGGTGGTGGTGTAAATCACACGTACGGTCCACAAGGTCTTTCATTCCGCCTGGGCTCGCTTTATTTATTTATTTAATTTGCTTTTTTTGGGGGGGTCACACCCAGCGATACTCACGGGTTCCTCCTGGCTCATGCACTCAGGAATTACTCCTAGTGGCGCTCGGGGGACCATATAGGATGCTGGGGATCAAACCCGGGTCAGCCACATGCAAGGCAAAAGCTCTCCCCACTGTGCTATCATTCTGCCCCCCCCCCCGGGCTCACTTTAACCTTATAAAGTGCTCTCAGCTGGGGCCGGAGAGATCGTATGGCAGACAAGGCACTGGCCTACAGGTGCGTGGTCCAGTGGATTCATGCCGGGGACCCCATACGGTCCCCTGAGCCCCGCCAGGAGTGAGCCCTGAGCTCAGAGCCAGAAGTAAGCCCTGAGCACTGTCCGGTGTGTCCCAGAAAGGAAAAAGGAAAAGTGTGGTCTTTCTCTTGCCAGGTAGATGAAATGCTCATGAATATTGAATTGTTTGGCGAGGCTCGGTGTTACATGTTGCTCATAAAAGCGATTTTTCACCACGTCGGGGTCCAGTTCCAGACAGACACCTTCCAGCCCTTTCCTCGAGCGCTGCCGCCTTTGATCTTTGTGCCTCTGTCACCACCTGTTGGCTGCGTTCTCAGTTCTCTGGAGAAACACTGCACTGCCACTTGAAAAATGTTTTGGATGCTACTTTAGTGACGGGCTGGAGCGATAGCACAGCGGTAGGGCGTTTGCCTTGCACGCAGCCAACACGGCTGACCCGAGTTCGATTCCTCCGCCCCTCTCGGAGAGCCCAGCAAGCTACCGAGAGTATCTCGCCCGCACGGCAGAGCCTGGCAAGCTCCCCGTGACGTATTCGATATGCCAGACACAGTGACAACAAAGTCTCCAATGGAGACGTTACTGGGCCCGCTCGAGCAAATCGGCCTTTACCTTACTTTAGTGACGTGTCACACTTTGTTTTCTTTGAGCCTTTGGCGATGTAAAGTGCAACGCACAGTATGTGACACGTTTGACTCGCTTTAATATTCTGATGGGTTTTGCCTGTCAAATGAACACGACTTTCTTAGATTTCAGAATGTCTTGGGCGGGAGAGTGAGTCAGCGGAGAGAAACCCGAGCTCTGCGGAGAGGTCGTGCAGATGGCTCCGTCCTTGTGTTGTGTGGAACTATTCAACAGTTATTTTTCATAATAGAAAACAGACCGGGGGGAAAATGGGCAGCTGAGGTCTCAGGCAGTTCTCTGGCTTTCTAGAAAGACACCGTGATAGGAGACGACTCACAGCGTTCATTCACACTCCTGCGAGGCTCCCTCCTGGAAACTGGTGCTCAGAAGGGCTGGAAGTTTGGATCGAGGGTGTCTAAATGCCAGAACTGCACCTTTCCGGTATTTCTGGTTAGCAGAGACGATTCTAAACAGAAGAGACAAACGCCGCTTCAGGATGGTTGAGCTGAAGGTGTTTCCTGGGGAGGGAAAGAATACATTAACGACCCTCCTCTCTCTCCCCTCCAGCTCCCCTTCCTCCTGCTCCCTCCCCCCTTCCTCTTTTCTTGTTTCCGTTTTTGGGCAGCACCTGGTGGTGCTCAGGGATCACTCCCGGGGGACTCTGGGGTGCCACAGGCAAGTGAGTGTCCCGGCTGCTGTCCCACCTCCAGGCCTGATCTTTCCCTTCGCCAGAAACAATGTAACCCACGCGATGGATACAGGGGAGGAGAAGTATCCTCTGCATTAAGATCAGTCCACAGGCAGGACGGAGAGGCAGAGCTGGGCACAGTCCCAGTCACAGGACGCACCTGGGAAGCAGAGCAAAAGCCCGGCCCCGCGCCTCGCCCTGCTCTGCGAGGCTCACACTCGCACCCCCCCCTTGGTTCTTGTGGTGATTGAGGGTCACGTTCTGAGGATGATGCTCGCTGGGCCTTGCACACACGGTTGTGGTGTTTGTACTTGGTCATGGTTCGTACTTGGTCATGGTGCTTGTACCTGGTTTTAGTGCTTGTACTTGGTCATGTGGTTGTACTTGGTTACACTGCTTGTCCTTGGTCAGGGTGCTTATACTTGATCATAGTGCTTGTACTCGGTCATGGTGCTTGTACTTGGTTGCAGTGCTTGTACTTGGTCGTGGTGCTTGTACTTGGTCATAGTACTTGTACTTGGTTGCAGTGCTTGCAGCAGGTCTTGGTACTCCTGGTGATGTCCACAGTGCCAGTGCCTCAGAGATCTCATGAATTATTGTGGTGCTTGGAACCACAACAGCAGGGCCTCCAGGCCCTTTGCAGTGACCTGGGGGAAGGACTCACACTTACCCTGTGCAGTGACCTGGGGAAGGACTCATCATGCGCAGTGACCTGGGGAAGGACTCACACTTATCCTGTGCGGTGACCTGGGGGAAGGACTCACACTTACCCTGTGCAGTGACCTGGGGAAGGACTCACACTTACCCTGCAGTGGCCTGGGGAAGGACTTACCGCTTACCCTGTGCAGTGCCAAGATCAAAGTCACAGACTGCAGGTGGGTGCACCGAACCTTCTGGCCTCCCCTTTGGGAAACAGACTCTTCCGTACGAGCAGACGGAGGTTGGGAGGCTGCAGAGAGGAACTGTGTTCCAGCTCCCACACCTCGTTTCGCCACAAAATGGGAAGATCAGCCCTTCTCGCCCCTGCACCCAGGTTGGTGGTAACTAGGCCCATCTCTCTGCCCGTGGCCTCGCCAGGCCCCTGGCCCCTGTTTCCTGACCCATCCAGCCACCACACGCTGTCCACCACATGGTGTCAGTGGATGGACAGTCGTGAGGAGGGGAGTCAGGGAGATCCTCTGCAGTTTTCTCGTGCCTCGACTGGGTGGGTCTGCTTGGGGACAAAGAGGAGAGGTCCTCTCTCAGAGGAGAGGACCGTGTGGGTCACTCCCCACCAAGGGCTCATTGTCCACATAACGTGGCCCTGTGGGAGGCAGCCGGGATCCACCAGCTCACGTCTTGGCTGTCTGAATTCTGAGCAGGTGGTCCCAGCTCCGAGTCACTGAAAGGTGCCAAGTCCCACCACCTGGCGAAGAAGCAGTTTCCGCTTGGTCTGAGGATCTTCGCGGCCAAGCCATGTCCCTTGCCCACACTTACTTAGTCTGTGACTCAGCCAGCATGGACTCCTCGTATGTCTGATACTGGGGGGGTTGGGGGGGTGGAGTCCAGGCCCTTCTCGGGATGGTGGTGAGCTCCGTGTCCTGGCCAGGCCATTGGAAGTTTCTTCTCTGGCCACCCTCTTCCCTGGAGGACCAGCAAGTCCTTGAGGTGGGTGGTGTGAGGGTGGACACTGGCTCTGGTGCTCCAGAAGCCGTGGACCCCGCTTGGTCTTCTCAGCACAGAGCAGACGTATGCACAGACTTGAAGCTGCAACGCTCCCATGGCATGTGTGTGTGGGGGGGAGGGGGGTTGCCACACCACAAACCTTCCTGCCTGATATATTTTCGTCCTGAGAACCAAACCTGAGAGTCTGGCATTTTGATGGCCACCACATCTATGCAGGCCGAAAAGGGGAACAGTGACCCCCCCACACCCTCCCCCACACACACTTTATTTAAACACCGGTGTGCACAGAATTGTTCATGATGTTTTGTTACAGGGATTCAATATTCCCACCCCGCTAGTGCCAGAGAACAGATGACTGGTTAAAGAAACTCTGGTACATCTACACAATGGAATATGATGCGACTGTTAGGAGAGACAAAGTCCTGAAATTTTTCAGATGAATGGATCAAAATGGAGAGTATCATGTTAAGTCAGGAAGAGATTGACAGACATAGAATGGCTGCACTCATTTGTGGAATAGAAAGTAACAGAATGGGAGACTAACACCCAAGGATAGTAGAGATAAGGGCCAAGAGGATTCCTTCACTGCTTGGAAGCTGGTCTCACATGCTGTGGGGAAAGGCAGCTGGGATAGAGAAGGGACCACCAAGCAAAGGATGCTTGGAGGGCTCGCTCGGGATGGGAGATGCGTGCTGAAGGTAGACTATGGGCCAAACATGATGGCCACTTAGTACTTGTATTGCAAACCATAACACCCATAAGGAGAGAGAGAGAGAGAGAGAGAGAGAGAGTAAAAGTGAATGCTCCTGTCACTGAGGTGGGGTGGAGGGCAGGGGTGGCAGGAGGGATACTGGGAACGTTGGTGGTAGAGAATGGGCACTGGTGGAGGGGTGGGTGCTCGACCACTATATGACTGAAACGTAATCATGAAAGTGTGTAAGTCTGTAGTTGTATCTCATGGTGTTTCATTTAAAATATTTTTTAAAAGGGGTTAGAGCAATAGTCCAGTGGGTAGGGCATTTGCCTTGCACGTGGCCGACCCTGGTTCAATTCCCATCATCCCATAGGGTCCCCCCTGAGCACTGCCAGGAGTAATTCCTTAGTGCAAAGGCAGGAGTAGCCCTTGTGCATTGCCAGGTGTCACCCAAAAAAGCAATAAATAAATAAATAAATAAATAAAAATATTCCCACCCAAATCTCACCACCACTGTCTCCATTTTCACAGCCTCCCCTCAAGTCTGCCCCCATAGCAAGCCCACAACAGTGTATTTTCCACTGCTTATTACCGTTAAACAGCTAACGGAATGATCAAAAAATTATTCCCTTAGAAAAAAATTTGTAAAAATTGTTGTATCTTGCCATGGGGGCATTAGGTCCTTATCTGAGGGTTTCCTGAGCTGTTGTTGCGGGCTGAGCCTTCTGTGGTCATGGTTGTCAGTGGACATAGGTTGGCTTCTGCGTTCCCTTCCCTCCAACCTGGTGTGGCCCTGCTGGGTGCCAGTGTTGGAGAGTTAGGACACGTCTTGGGGCCGCAAATGTGGCCACACTCTCCAGAAGGTCCAGAATATTCAACAGGGCCTGGCTGCTGGGCTTCCAGAGGAGATGGGAGGAGGAGAGGTCTTCCACTCCAGCTCCAAGGAGGCCT